AACAGTGAGAGTGTAGGGTTCAGGAGTGTACTACATACAAAGTTCAGGGTTCAGGAGTGTGAAACATAGAGAGTGCAGAATTCAGTAGTGAGCTACTTAGAGAGTGTAGAGTTCAAGAGAAGAGTGCAGAGTTCCGAAGTGTGCTACACTCAGAGGGAAGAATTCAGGAGTGCACTTTGTACAGAGTGTAGGGTTCAGTAGTATATAATGTACAGAGTGCAGAATTCAAGAGTGCGCTATGTACAGAGTGAAGAGTTTAGGAGTGCACTAAATAGAGAGTGATGTGTTCAGGAGTGCGGAGTTCAGGAGCACACTACGTGCAGAGTGCAGAGTTCAGGAGTCATTACGTAGAGAGTGAAGAGTTTAGGAGTTCAGAGTTCAGTAGTGCACTATGTAGAGAGCTCAAAGTTCAGGAGTGCATTGTGTATAGAGTGTATAGTTGCCAACATTTTAAATAGAGTTTCAGTGACACCTGTCTAAGTTGTGCATTCAGCAAGCCATTTGTAGAATGTACTTATGGGATGGGCATTCATTTAAGTATGGAGTGTATAACAGCATGTGCAGGAAAAGAGTGCAATGTGTATGGTGGTATGTGAAGGAAAGGAGTGCAGTGTGTATGGTATTATGTGCAGGTAGAGTGTACGCAGGAAAAAAATAATGATGCGTTCTTCGAAGTAACAATGCAGTGTAAGTATGGGTATTTATCATAACAGACATTCGCAAGAAACAGTTTGTGAAATTGTATACACACAACATGGGCAAAGTATACTTGAGACCCCACAAAGCTTGCACTATGGCATTTTTACCTTGTGTTCTTTTATACAATCACTTTGAAATGTATGTTACTGTATGACATATAAAAATAGCAACCCCATAAACTTTGGAGAATCACCATTTTAATGTCATTACTTTTCTGATTCCTCTTGTACCAAATTGTATTGTAACTGTAATGTCTACCTTCATTTTCTGCGCAAACTTTTGCCGCTTTATAAATCCTGTATAATAATAATAATAATAATAATAATAATAATAATGATATACATTGGAAAGCTGGAGCACATGCTGCTTACCTACCCACATTTGTAAGACAAATTGTATGTACGCTATCATAGTCATGTACACCTCCACAAGCACTTCTTGCGCACTTCTTTTGAAGGTAAAGGTTTGTAACAGGGAAATTACACTGTCTTTAGTAACTCATGTCCAATGTTCTGTCTCTGTTTTATGTCCTTTATATATTGGATTCCCTCTCTAAAATTTCTATTAAATGTAATCATATATTTTTAATAGCAAATCCTAATCTTGTTCAGTTAATTGTTCCTCCAGCAGGGTCTGGGAATTGCAGTAATTGCCTCATCAATTATTTATATCAACACACTGGTATGACTTAATGCACCTTGCATATAGTTGCCAACTTTAGACATCTTTGATTGCCCTTCACTATTGGAATTGGTTCATAACTATAGCATAATCCAAGAATGTGCTGCAATTTCTGTACACACACAACTGAAAGTGAATGTCTGGGCTAGAAGTAGCTAAGCTTAAAAACTACTCCCACCCCATTTCTAACACCTATAGTAACTACCCTGTAGAAAGACAATATACTATCCTGTAGAAGGAAGATGCTTATACTCGCCTATTCTCAAAGCACTCTGATCCAGTCATATGATCTCCCCGGCAGCTGACTTCAAGGGAGAGAAAAGAGCGATGACAACAGATGAAATGCCTTGGTGGTGACATCACCCATGGGCTTACTATGGGGCATTTGTTGTCAGCTGCCCCTACTCTCCCCAGAAGCCAGCCTCTGGAAGAAGATCATTTGACTGGACCGGAGCAAACCGAGAATAGGTAAGTATAAGTATCTTCCTTCTACTGGATAGTTGGTATAGGCGTTAGGGGGTGGGAGCAGTTTTAGGTGTAGTTAGGGGGGGAAGAGGGTTGTGCTGTCCCTTTAAGCAGGAATGCAAATAAGATAATGGCCAAAGGTCTCTCACTACTCTTGGGTCCATCAGAAAGGTTCTTTCCTTTTCTTTGGTGTCCAAACCAGTCATTTCATACAAGTGACTGTCTGTCTCTTGCAGCACGCTGGGTCTTGCAGTCCCGCAGCAATGCAGATTTGGACCTCACAACTTCAGCAAGGTCCCACCTGAGCAGGAAAATGGAAACAGTCTCTCACGGACCATGGTACTCACTTCATAGGTCCCTCCACTCCAGAGCACAATCTTCTGTCCACAGTGTGCCACAAGGAGGATACACACTACAACTTTGATAAAAACGTCTTGCAAATCTTTATTACATAATAAAAATCAGATAGTATTCAGACTGCCACATAGATTTTGATAACTTGGTACATGAGTGAAGTTCCTAAAATGGCATAATGGATCAACACATTTTGAAGTAACACTTGCTTCTTCAGAATCCCAGTTCTCTTCTTGCTTCTCCAGAGTCTCTCCAAGAGACTCTGCTGCAGCGTGCACTTTCCAGACCGTATTTTGCTTTCCAGGCACATGGTGTTCCTCTTCCTGGGATTTGTGGTCCCACACAATTTCTCTCTACAAGGCATTATCTTCCTAATCTTCCTACTGAATCTAATCTTCCATTAGATTCAGTAGGCTTCTCCCCTCCCAGGCTACTACTGCAGCCAATTACTGTGTCCTCCTGTCTGGTGTTGACGATGGCCTCAGTTACAGCAATTCACAGATTCTGTCATTATGCTTTTTTTCCCTGGCCCTGTCACACAGCAGTAGTTGGGAAGAGCGAATATAGCTTCATTGTGGGTGGTCCTGTCAAAGCCCAGGTCCTTGCAGCAGTACGCAACAGTGCCACTGGTCAGGCTGGGGTACTGGGAGCTGGGAAAAACTGAGCCTGGTTTACTAAAATGAAAAGCATTAGGGTAGGCAAATTTATATTGCAAGTTTGCATGAGCAAGTGGTCAATTCTTTAACTGATATGGTAAAGTGCACACTTTTGTGATACCTTGCAGTCCCAGCACAAACCTTGCAATTCCAGTGTTTAAAAACGAAATGCATTAGGGTAGGCAAATTTATATTGCAAGTTTGCATGAGCAAGTGGTCAATTCTTTAACTGATATGGGAAAGTGCACACTTTTGTGATACCTTGCAGTCCCAGCACAAACCTTGCAATTGCAGTGTTTCAGTGTTGAGCATTAAGATAATCTTTTATTATGTCTTATATGCAGATGTATTGCATTGAGGAATGTGTGTGATATGAGCTTGTCAAATAAAAAAAAAAAGTATACCTTACTATGACCAAAGCCTGCATGTATGTGCATATGCACTCTACTGTCCACTGCAAACCATGCCCTATGGCTTTTTTACTTTTTGTACACACTTCATGCAGTATTTTCCTTACATTAAAAGCACATACAAAATGTCAAACAACTATAACATACTCTAAAAACATAAAACAAAATCAGATTTTGATTCTAGGTATATCGTCAAGGCTGGATAACTCTCACCCAGAGCTAAGAACCAGCTTTAAAAACCTAATAGCCAGCACTGCACAACCTACATATGACTATATACAGTTGTGCTTAAAGGTTTGTATACCCTGGCAGAAATCTCAAAATTTTGACTTTGATATTGAAAATACTGTATGACTGATCATGACTAAAAACTGTCTTTTATTTAAGGATAATAATCAGATGAAGCTATTTATTATATTTATTATTAGTTAGTTGTTCGGCTCCTTTTTAAATCATAATGTTAAACAGAAATTAACCAAACAGCTCTGATCAAACGTTTACACTTTGGCCTTGGTACAGGTACACAAGGTGACGCATACAGGTTAAAATGGCAATTAATGGTTAATTTCCCACATCTGTGGTTTTTTAAATTACAATTAGTGGCTGTGTATAAATAGTCAACAAGTTTGTTAGCTCTCACATGGATGCACTGAGCAGGCTAGATACTGAGCCATGGGGAGCAGAAAAGAACTGACAAAAGACCTGCATTGCATATGTCAGTCAGTACTTTTTAGTCACTTATTAAGAGGAAAATTCAGGGATCTCTTGATACCAAGCCAAGGTCAGGTAGTTCAAGAAAGATTGCACTCACAACTGCCAGAAGAATTGTTGGGGATACAAAGAAAAATCAAGAAAAATCCATAGGTAACCTCAAGAGAAATACAGGCTGCTCTGGAAAAAGACTGTGGCTGTATGAAGGAGCACAATACGATGATAATTGAACAAAAATTTGCTGCATGCTCAAGTTTCCAGAAAGAAGCCTTTACTGTGCCAATGCCATATAAAAGCCCAGTTACAATATGCCTGACAATACGTTGATACACCTCACAACTTCTGGCTCTTTAATGTAGACATGTGTGGTTTGTTTTGTCACAAATCTACATTTGGACAAAATTTGTGTTATTTGGAAATCTGGATGTATCCGAATTTCCAAATTACAACAGTAACAAATAACTAATCCCAAATAAACTATAAAATTAATTTGTTTCCTTCATATGTTTGAATCATACAAATGATCTGAATTCATTTGATAATACCTGGTTGTTAAGGAGCAAAAAAAATGCCAGTTTAGACAAAAAAAAAAAACAAAACCATGACAGGCCTTTGGCTCTGGTATGAATTTTAAGGTGAACCCCATGCCAAAGAAAAAAGACAGTGTGGAGTCCCCCCGCCAAAAAAACAATACAAATCTGGTATGGATTTTAAAGAACTCCAAGCCAAAATAAAAAAATAAAGTGCCCCCCCAAATCCTTACCAGAGCCTTATCCAAGCATGTCACAGGAAATAGGCCTGGGATGAGCAAGCACCCCCCTCCTGAACCATACCAGGCCACTTGCCCTCAACATAGGGGGGTGCTCAGCAAGTCCTTTATTTTAAACAAATTAAAAAAGTTTGACCCCAGAATTATTCATGAATCAATTACGATGAATGGTGGATGCCTACTCGAAAAAAAATTGAAAACGAAAAAAAAAAGAATAGGTGTGCTTGCGACGCTTGCCTCCAAGCAACTGAGAGCCAGGGGCGGACTGACCATTTGGAAACTTGGGTACTGCCCGAGGGCCCGGGGTCAGTAGGGGGGCCCCATGAGATGCCCCTGGTACCTTTTTCATAGGCTTTTTTGAGTTTGGGCAAGGACACAGGGGCCCCATGATCCCCTATTGCCCGGGGGCCCCATGAGTTGGCAGTCCGCCCCTGCTGAGAGCTCTGTTTCATACCAATGGTAAACAAAGGGGCATGGTCACAGGCGAATGACCCTGCCCCTTAGCTTATTTACCTACGGTTCCCAGTGCGGACAGTAAATAAACAAAGTTGGGAACTGGAACGCTCAGTCGCAAGTGTCAGGTGCACACTTATTGTTTTTGTTTGTTTGTGGGGTCGGCGTCCCACGTTCATTGTGATTGATGCTGATTAACTTCAGGGGAATTTTTTTTTTTTAGAAATAAAGGACTAGTCAAAAACTGTCTTTGTGTTTTTATTTATTTTTTGGAATCCCTCTGACAGCATATGATGGTTGTTAAGTTTGTCGTGGCTGCCCATTCCTTGACAACCATCTATTCATCATAGTGAACTTAGATAAATTCAATATTTTAGATTCAATTCAAATACTTCAAATCCATTTGAAAAATTCAAATCCTTTTTACAACAAATAAACAAAACTGAATGAAGAGAATTCAGTTACGAGTGCAACAAAACAAATTAGTAACTTAATGAATCGATCTGAAACAAAATTTTTTTTTTTGTTCTGCACATCTACTGTAATCTGTACTGAGGAGACCAACACAGAGCTTTATGGTACAATCTTAAGGCTCCATGCACATTGGGTGTTTTAAAAATGCTGGTAGCGTTAGCTGTGTTAAATCACGTTAAAAACGTGAGTTTTTCTGTGTTTTTTAGCATTTTTGTATTAGCATGTAGCTGTGTTTTGCCGTGTTTTTTTGCGTTCAGGTTTTTCAGTGGGTTTTTTTGGTAAAAAAAAAAGTCCAAAAACGCTGGGCTGCCACGTTTTACTGCGTTTTGTTGCGTTTTCACCATTAGAGCGTTTTTACAGTTAAAAAACTCCTCTAGAAACCCACTAGTTCTGGGGTTTTTTTTCCAGCCAAAAAACACCCCTGCCAAAAAATGTTGATTACAGTCTATGTGTGCATGAACACATAGAATAACATGTTGGGGGGTTCACTGGCTGTAGAAAAAAAAGTCAAAAGCCAAAACCAGCAGCCATAAAAACGTCCAGTGTGCATGAGGACTAAGTGCTATATTTGGAGAAGGGTCAACAAAACCTATAGGGACAAGAATAACATCTACAGTGTGAAGCATGTTGGTGACTCACTGATGTTTTGAGGGTGTGTGAGCTCTAAAGGCATAGGGAATTTTTGTGAACATTGATGGCAAGATGAATGCAGCATATTATCAAAACATGCTGTCAGAAAGTTTGCATTCTTTTGCACAAAACCTGTGCATGGGATGCTCTTGGACTTTCCAGTAAGACAATGACCCTAAGCACAAGGCCAAGATGACCCTCCAGTGATTACAGCAGAAAAAGGGGAGGGTTCTGGGGTGGCCATCAAAGTCTCCTTACCTTAATATCATCGAGCCACTCTGGAGTGTTGTGACGATGTTGAAACAAAAAATATGGGTTTATGGGTTTCTCCATAAAATTCATACCAGGTCTTTATCAAAGAAAAGTCCTTTATTAAATAGAAAAATCCCACAGTGTAAATCCATCATCAGTCAAGCTGTCCAGCAATAAATATTCATGCCAATCACGAAGAACAACAATCCCAATCACCACTTGAAAGAAAAATATGGTGGCCACAAATGACAATCTGACCTTGATGGACTTCATGTCAAATGGCAGCTCCAGGCTAAATGTAAACAAAGGGGGTAAGAACTCTAACATCATTGACCAATTATGGTACCTACTAATTGTGTTGTGCAGGCTGCACAATGGGTAGTATTAATGTATTGGTGGTAGTAGCCAGTCTTTGAATGATGAACATGCAAAGTTCGGTTTAAACCCTGCACTGAGCTGAACCCTATCCCTATTAAAAAAAAAAAAAAAAAAAAAAAAAAGGATGCAGCTGGGAAACGTCATTTAGCATCTGGCAATTTAAATGGTCAGTTTTTTTTTCTTTGTGAATGTAAATTCTATGAAAGGGCAAGAGAAGAAAAGGGAAGATCACCACCCTGGGGAGCATCAGCATTAGTGGAGGGAAGAAGATTTCTACAGTAAACAGCAGCCAGCAGGACATGGGATACACTTCGATAGAGGTCAGTTACTACAGTATATATTATATGGTGCTGTATCCACAACATTTTTATCTAAACTTTAGCTTTAAATAGGAAGTCACTAAAATGACACTGTTCTGTGTACATCTCTGAATATAATTGCTATTTCTTGACATTGTATCTGTGAAACACAAAAAGCTACAGACCCATGTACTTCAAAGCTCCATACCTCACCTGTTTTCAGTTATAGACAACTCTAGCAGGGTTGGGGCCAGAGCAGCCCACGTTCTGTCTCCTTTCAACCTACAAAGAAATAGTTGTATACACCTGAACAGATACCAGCAGATACCACATGCCAATATATTTTGTCATAGCCACAAATATTGGCGCCCCTGCATTTCTGTTAGATAATATGTTTGTTTATTTTGTTTGTATTGATATGACACAAAAAAGTGGAGAAACAAAAAATCAAATCTGACGTATTCCACGCAAAACCCCAAAAATGGAATGGAGAAAATTATTGGCACCTTCTCAAAATTGTAAGAAGTGATTGCATTCCAAGATTGTGATGCTCCTGTAATTTGTAATTAAACTCGCTGTATCAATTAACAGATCCTCACAATATATAAATCACATCCGTAACCAGATAAAATGGTGTAAAATTGACTCAGCCTTTCTGTTATGTGTATGCCACATGGAACATGAGAAGAGAAAGAGCAGCAAAGAACTGCTTGAGGATTTGAGAACAAAGTTGTGGAAAAGCATGGACAATCTCAAGGTTACAAGTCCATCTCCAGAGATCTTAATGTTCCTGTGTCCACTGTGCACAACATTGTCAAGAAGTTTACAGCCCATGGCACTGTAGCTAATCTCCATGGACGCAAACAAAAGAGAAAAATTGATCAAAGATTGCAACAACGGATTGTTCAAATGGTGGATAAAGAACCTCAATCAATTTACAGACAAATTCAAGCTGACCTTCAGGCACAGAGTACAACTGTGTCAGCCCGCACTATATATCACCATCTGAATGAAAAAGAACGCTTTAGCAGGAGATCTAGGAGGACTCCACTGCTGACACAGAAACATAAAAAAGCCATATTGGAGTTTGCCAAAACTTGCCTGAGTAAGCCAAAATCCTTTTGGGAGAATGTGCTGTGGACAGACAAAAAAAAATTACAGCTTTTTGGTAAAGCCCATCATTCTACTATTTTCATAAAAAGAAATGAGGCCATTAAAGAAAAGAATACAGTCCCTACAGTCAAACATGCTGGGGATTCACTGATGTTTTGGGGTTGTTTTGCTGCTTCAGGCACTGGATGTCCTGTGTGCATGGCATCATGAAATCTGCAGACTACCAAAAAATTCTGGGGTGCAATGCAGTGCCCTGTGTCAGAAAGTTGGGTCTCTGTCAGAAGTCATGGGTCTTACAGCAGAACAATGACCCAAAGCCTATGTCAAAAAACACCCAGAAATTGTTTCAGACAAAGTGCTGGAGAGTACTGAACTGGCCAGCAATGAGTCCAGGTCTCAATCCAATAGAGCACCTGTGGAGAGATCTCAAAACAGCAGTTGGGAAAAGGAAACCTTCCAAACTGAGAGACCTGGAGCAGCTGGCGAAAGAAGAGCGGTCCAAAATTCCAGTAGAGAGGTGTAAGAAACTCATCGATGGTCCCAGGAAACAGCTGATTTCAGTTATTTTTTCCAAGGGGTGTGCTATCAAATATTAAATTGAGGGTGCCAATAATTTTGCCCAGTCCATTTTTGCGATTTTGCATGGAATGTGTCTGATTTGGCTTTTTGTCTCTCCACTTTTTATGTCATACCAATACAAACAAAAGAAATAAACATGAGAATGCCTAAACATTTGTGAAGTGGTACATTGTCTGACAGAAATGCAGGGGTACCAATATTTTTGATCATTACTGTATGTAGAAAAAAGACACAGAAGAACCAGTAAAATATTATGTAAAGGGCAAATCGGCATTCAACCAGTAAGGACAACTTTACTGGTGGGTATATGTAAGTTACCTGGTAAAAAGCAACATATGTAATTTGTACTTCAATAATGGTTTTCACAAAAACTAGCATAGCTGCAGATGATTTGACTGCATTGGATAGCAACCTTATTATGATTTTCTAAAAAAATGAGATAAAATATGGTCTGTTGGGACAAACCACTGAAAGAGTGCGATCACTACCAGGCAGTCTGCCATAATAAAAGAGAATACTGTATCTCCCAGTATTTCTTAAATGTTTTTTTTTTCTCTCACTGACCATTAAAAGTAGCAAAACACTATGGGCACTGTTAAAATGCACCCTTTAAACCACTGAACAAGTGTGATGATCTGTGAACCTACCAAACCTTCTCTAAAGCCAGTCATAGATGGATTGAAATTCATCTGGTTCAACAGGGACCAGCCAAATTTCAATCCATCTATGGGCAGACTGGATGTACAGAGGTGCATCTCTCGATCAACTTCTGTACAACCAACCTGTTGTGTTATTTTTTTTTTTTCTTTCGCTCGATCAGTGCCACAGGCTAGAGTTGGCAACACTGATCATTGTATTCTGACAGCAGGCAACTCTCCCCTCTGTCAGAATACTAAGTGGTAGGGATTCTCCCATAAACACAGAGAGTGTTGATGGGGGAATCAAATCATTTTTTTTTTATTCATCCCACTAGTTGAAAAAAAAATGCATCATCTATGGCCTGCCTGACTTTCCAATGACGTGAAAATGCCTACCAAGCAGTAGCTGATACCTTCTCCCACCCTATTCCCTAGTATACTATGCATAAACTGGCAGCCTGCAAGATTTTATAGAGGAGAAGTGCTTATCACTTGCCCCAAAGTGACTGACAGCTGCAGACACCAGGAAAGCTAATCCTTGGGTTAGAAAGGATGCTAGGGCCACCTCAACATGTATGCACATTCCAACCAGTAAAATGGCATAAATATAGATAATTCAGTTTGTGAAAGCTAGTTGCAAAAGGAAGAAGTAATAGAAGGCAAATTATGGAAAATAGACTATAAAGTGGTGTTTTCCTGTAAATGTAAACAAAAGAATAATGACTAGAGTGAATGGGTCTATGAAAGGAGCATTCCTGTTGTTTACCAGAATAACAAAGGGAAAACAATGAAATCTTCCATGACCAGTAGTTTATTAGCATGTGATTAACACAAAGAAAGCCTTCCTTTGTAAAGACTCACAGTGGTATAAAACTTAATTGTGTTTCTCTCAATTACTCACAGGACAGTACAAAAATTCCTATTAACGTTCTGTTCTTGCATGCTGGAAGATATAACATATTTGAACAAGAATGGAACATTTCAGCTTTCTGCCTGAATGAATTCAAGAAAAATCATAGAATGCGAGTTAGGGTTATATTAGTAGTTGAAAAATTAAAGCAAATAAAATTTACATGGTATAATTTTATTTCTTGCTTTGTGCACTCTGCTAAATTTGCAGATAGAATATTTATCCATAAGTGAATATAAAAGCTGAAAACTAAATAAATGGAATTATGGGCTGCACAAGACATAATTAATCTTTTTTAAAATATCAGAAGCAAGAATGCAAAGCAATTATTTTTTCTGAAGCTTTTTGACAGCAGAGAACAAATAGAAAAACAAATTGAATGAGAATTTTTTTGTACTATTTTTTCTGTTGCTCATATCTCCATGTACAAATTAAGAAAGATAATTGCGTAAATAGTGTATAAACCCTCTAACAAGTTATGGTTAATTGCTTTTCAGAGTTCCTGTCACAGCTGGGGGTGAATAGCAATGCTCTTCCTTGGTGATCTGATATTGTAGTTTAAGCATTTTGCAATGCATTGTGATCCCAGCTGCCAGTCGGGAAGCAATAATAATTTCATGTTTGATAATAAGTCAGGGTGAGTGAGGGTGTGCTCTGCTAAATATTTTCTTGCTTTTACGAAGTGCATATGTTTTACATAGAAAATATATTGTATTACATTAAAACATTTGTAAGTTAGTGTTTGACTGGTGAAAAACAATAATTAGGTGTTTATTTCCAACGGGGTTCTTAATTAAAAGGGTATCTAAAGTCAAAGCCTTTTTTTGGATAAAGTGGTTAGGGACTGGAACCTGTCAGATTTTTATTGATGTACAGTATGTGTTTTCACCGGGGAGATTCACCCTCTCTTTTATCGATATCCTGTTATCCGCTGTCATCAAGGAGTTAAATGAAGAATTTTAAAGTTATCCCTGTAAATCTTCCCATTGTCTGTCACAATGAAGGACAAAAAAAAAGTAGCCATTACCTACTCTATCCAAAACAACAAAAAAAGTTGATTATAAATATACTTTAAATTTAGATAATAACATCTTAATTGGTGAAATATTTACCTCTACTACTTCAGGAAATCATTACTTGAATATCACAAAGCTGCCCTTTTTTCTGTCAGAAACAGGTTTTCAAACTAAGTTAAAAAAACAGCATGAGCATTAAAGTTAGTTTAACTAAGTTATGTGGAATCCCGGGGCGGACTGACCATTTGGAAACTCGGGCACTGCCCGAAGGCCCGGGGTCAGTAGGGGGCCCTGTGAGATGCCCCTGGTACCTTTTTCATAGGCTTTATTGAGTTTGGGCAAGGACACAGGGGCCCCATGATCCCCTATTGCCCGGGGGGCCCCATGAGTTGTCAGTCTGCCCCTGGTGGAATCTCTCTTTCCAGTGACTCCACTCCAACATTTCAGCTGGTATACATCCTCTCCGGCTACAATCACATACCAAAAGATAAGCATACTAGGAATCTCAGCTCTCATAAGGAAAACATATTGCCTCCATCTTGACTACATTTCTTTTTTCAATGTCAAAATTAAACTTTTTGTTGGACCAGTTTATTTATAATGTCATAAGAGCTCTAACATGTTAATGTTATTTAAAAAAAAAAGCATTTTAATATTTTTAAATCTGCAGCTTTCATTAAATTGATACATGATGATCCTGTAACAAAGGTCCTTATTTAGGCACCTTTTGTTACAGGGTGAAAACACTCTTGTAATGTCACCCTGTTACATGGTCTACCAATCAAGAATACAAGAAGACATGGGAGATTAGCAGCATTAAATATGGCAGTTGTTTATGATACACAGTGCTTTAGCAATCTAAGTTTCATTCAAGTAGAGTTTACATCTACTTTAATTCTTAGGTTTTTTTTTTAAACCACAAACGTCTCTTTTAATCTTTGCCTGCTCAGAATTGCATTTATTTTATATTGTTAGAATTCACCAATTTTGTGAAAAAACTACCACATCCGAAGTAGGACAAACTTACTTGGCTAAATAACTAGTGTGGAGAGGAGGGCAGAGATGATGAAATTGTTGTTGGAGAGATCTTGCCTTCAGAGTCTCTGCGAAGTTTAAGAAACTTTTTTTTCCTTATACATTATATTGTAATTTCTGTTAAAATAAATTTTTTGCGCTGTACTGCATACCTTATTCTATAGCCATTATTTCTTACTGTAATCCAGTTAATTTAATTTGGCAGAACAAAATCATTGATGACATGCAAAACCCTGTATCCCATAGCAGCCACTCAGAAACACTGAAAGATGATTGCTGGTTGGTTCCTGTGGGTCAAAGTAATTTATACATTGCTCTTTGCCTCTTTGATTATGTCCATGCATGCTAAATGTACTTTATGCCTTGTAGAAAGCAGTGCAACTGTCATCAGTAGGTCTATAAAGAAATGAACAGTTCCTGTTTCATGACCTTTCATTATAACTTTAGGTCAAAGAGCGAGTCACTTGTTCTCGACAAAGAATAGAGCTATTTCTCCCGTGCTGTCAAAGGAGAGTTCTGAGTCACTGGATCTACACATACAATAACAATGGAGCTTCCACGTATAAAACCATAACAGTACAATGTCCAAGAGCTGTGTCTCTAGGGCCTCATTCCTCAGAAATATGAAGGTGTATTTCATTGCACTCTTCGTGCAGACAAGCTCTAACTCCACGTGAAATTTGTGCTTCAGAAAAATCATGTTCGTCTTGTTACCCTGTCCAAGTCCCGCACCATGGTAATTAATTATAAGACAAATGCTGGCAAGGAGAGAAATGTAGTCAGGTATACAACTCAGGCAGGGACTGTAGGACAAAGTCATTAATCTCTGATATGTTTTCATGCCTCCAGAATGAATTATGTATTGGTGTAATGCATTCTCCCCAGTAGAAAATAATAGGAAAAAAGAAACTTAACAGGTGCATCCAAAGCTGATGAATGGAGCCCTTGGAATCTATTTGATAGTACTGCCATAATTGGTCTTCCTTGGGAATGGCTGACAGATATAATTGAAAAAGTAGCATTTTCAGGACGTTAGAAAACTTGAATGAGGCACATAGTATTAAAGTACTTCCTTTTTCCAAAATGAATTGATCCTTCTTACTTGGATGCGGCCCTTAAAAATATGCACACGTTTTACAACATAATTTGTTTTGCATGGTATGACTCTATTTAATTATCAGGTATGCATTGTTTGATAGATAATTGGGCTTCAACACTCTACCAGCATAACCTGCTCCAGCAAGCTGATCAGATATACTACCTGAGGTTGGTGAAATATGCCTTGCATTCAGCCATACAGAAACAATGGTACTCTAAATGGTATATTTATAAATGGTGGCTGGTCAGTTCCCTAATATTTACCCCCACAACATTTGTCACTGGATCCCTGTTAGATTGTTGGTTTTAGCTAGAACACATTTTAGCCATCCACAGATCTATTTCAGTGATCCCTGTCTCAATTTTTGCCACATTTGTGAAGGAGCAAACTGAACAGCTAGCAGCCTGAGCTGTCTTGTAAATTTGCTGTCAATTTTATAAATTGAGGACTATTGACTGTTGAGGACAGCCTTAAGGCAGAACTCAACCCAAAACTTCTTTTTTAGTCACGCATTAAGTGGAGGAATGATGTTTATTGCTTTCTGTCTCCCAATTGATAGGATCTCCCTTCCTCTCCTGTTCCTGTTCTGGAGAAACCTTGCTTTCTCACTTTATCCAAAGCTAAGAAAAAAGGTGTTGGGTTGACTTCGATTTTAAAATCCTAATTTCCAATATATATCCTCTCTACTCATTGCTGGGAAGATGCACAACTTCCCCAGAACAGTATTCCTGTTCTTTTTAAATATCCCAGTAAGAGATCTGTTGTATATTAACAGTTGAGCTTCAGTCCTCTGACATTATGACTACTTCTGTTAGTTTAAACTAGTTGTACATATAAAGTCCATATGACTTTATGAAGAGAGCAAGGTAGCCCCAATGGAGGACAGAATTACGAGGTGTGACAATTTAATTCCTGAAATGGACCAGTAACAGCCCTATCCAACACCTCTTCATTCTTCAAAAGATCAGATCAAATTTAAAGATGACAAGATTTGAGGTGCCATCTTTGCAGAAATCTTTCTCATTCCCAAATTCTGACAGAATCCAGACTCTGATGCACAGTTTCCTTGTTTGTGGTCAATTCTTCTGTCATCATTTGCACACTCAACCTTCAAGCTGAACACTCTGCCCACATTTGCATCCGCCCTTTGTGGTTTTGGCTGCCCACTTCTTGCGTCACTGTGGACTTCTTCCTGTCCTCCTTAAACGATCTATGCCATTCAATCACAATTGATTTCTTCATAAAATTTTCACAATAAGCCTGTTGTAACAGAGCTAAAGTGTCACTTTTGCCAGTTTTCACAAAATTTGATGTTAATCCTCTGCACTGGATTCCTATCACTCATTTTCATAAACAGCGCAATGCACACACATGCTATTTTTCTTCTACTACTCCGTAAAGACTGAGTTGACTGGTCTTCGGTCCAGATGAGTTCAAGTTGGAACATGTCAGAACACGCTTGAGTGCAAATGTCTGTGTAACTCACCACCATAATGCTACTCTATGCCTCTGGCATTCTGGGAATTATACAGTATTTTCACACCTCATGCATTTAACATAATATTAAAAGGGAAGATCATATTATAGACAGGTGATCCAAGAAGTAGTAAGGAGATTTTTGGGGGAAATTAAAAGGTATTAGAGGAAAAAGTTTTTTTGTCTGAAAAGTATGTAAGATATGGCCCCTGCAAAAAAAGAATAAAAGAGGGCATACTCTCCTTGTGCATTACCATGATAAAAAGAAATTTAATATGATATAGACAAATGATACCCAAATACCAATAGGTCATAAAAACAGGGAGAGTGTCACAATTAATGGTCCCAGGTAGTGGGGATCCTGTAGTGGAAAATGTTAACGCGTTTCGAACGTCAAGCTCCCTTCCTCAGGCTCTCACTCTGTTTTTATTATCTATTGGTTTGTGACTATCCATTTGTTTATATCACAATAAATTTCTGTTTATCACGGTAATGCATGAGGAGAGTACGCCCTCTTTTATTCTTTTTTTGCTAGTACCAAGACTCCTCTATCTTTGGAGGGCTGCACTTAGCGAGTGACAGTATCTGCGATCTTGTGCTGTATGAAGATCTGAGCACTGTTTTTCAGAATATATTGAAGATATGGCTTCTACTTTAAAGTGATTCTAAAGGCTTATTTAAAAATAAATAAATAAACAAACATGTCTATACTTGCCTGCTGTGTGCAGTGGTTTGGCACAAAGCAGCCTGGATCCCTCCCTCCTTTCGGGTGCCCGCACAACAAGCAGATTCCTATGGGAGTATCCGCTGCTCCACGTGTCCATTCACACATGGAGCCATGACCCAGCACGGCCCCCTCTCTCTTCTCATTGGGTCACTGGCTGTGATTGACAGCAGTGGGAACCAATGGCTCCCGCTTCTGTCTCAGCCAATGAGGAGAGGGAGTCCCGGGCTAGCCAAGTCTCCAGTGCGCATCGCTGGATCGAGAGGGGTTTCAGGTGAGTATTGGGGGGGCTGGGGGCCGGCTGCACAGAGAAGGTTTAGAAAACATGAAGGTAAAAAACCTTGAGCCTTTAGAACCACTTTAAACAGACTTTCTGTGGACTCAGTATGGCTCAGTATGGTTCCACACATTGCCTCAGAGATGCTGAAGAGAACAAAAGAAAGCCAATTACACTTTTATGAAAGTGGATAATATCAGATTTATTATTCTTCTACACGTTTTACAAGTCATCTCTGCAAGGACAGTAGAAAATTTGCAGATTGCCCAGATTCTTTACTATGTGATATTATGTGTGTTTCTTTTGCTTCTGCCAAATCAGTTTTATGCTGAAGGGGAAATGGTGACCACAACCTTTCTAGTCTCCTTTGCCTGAATGCAACTGTAATTACAGAAGTTGAAGAACAACTTCAGTCAGAATAAAAATCAAATTATATAATGTTTGGTAATAAATTGCTTCATGTGCACAGAAATCAACTTACATCATATCAAGTTGTGTACAGTGTTTATGTTCTCATTGTGAGCTGCAGCAGGTTATGTACAGTAAAAATATTATTACAGCCTACAGACCATCTACCCAGAACCTGCAGTAGGTCTCTAGTTCTTGATGGGGTTCACTGCTACAATATGCTGCATGGTATATGATGAGCACAGCAGTTCATCCCCAATCAACAGAACATTATATGCTTCTTTAATTCACTGCTCAAGATCGTGAAAGTGAAGATTATTTTTTTTTCTCAAACTAGAATCCAAAAATAAAAATCAGAAACAGTTAAATAATTCACAGTGCTTGTCTTTTTTTTTACATTTCTAATTAAAAATTTAGTCACATTTAGCAAACTAAAGGTACATTTTCAATTACAGTTGTAATAAATCATAATGCGGCAAGTATTCATTACAATGGTAGTCTTACAAATCCTGTCAGCTGCAGATACAAATACTGTAAAGGCAATCCAAAATAGTCTTGAATGGCAGTAAGAAGCCTTTTAGCTAGCAAAAATGAACAGCTGAAAAATTGAATCACATCCCACGGTCCCCATAATTCAAACAGCCATGATTCTGTTATATAGATCTTGTAATAAAATGTTATTTTGTGTTTAATAATAATAATAATAATAATAATAATAATAATAATAATACTATTGAACATAAATACTTCAAAAAAAGGAATCTTAAAAAACAAAGATTACACAGAAAACATGCTGGGACCTTTGAAAGCTATGCAGAGTATAACATGTAGGTAAATGAGCAAGAAGGGTAATAAAATACAAAGAAGGAAAAGAGGCAGGCCAAACATTCTACTCCAAAAGCACCAGCAATACTTAAAGTGGTTCTGATGTCAAGACATTTTTACCTTAACGCATTCCCTGCATGAAGGTTAAAAATGTCTTACTGCTTGCTCCTTGCTCTCCCCCAAATACTTACCTGAGTCTTATACCGATCCAGAACTATACAAACCAAATAAAACAGCGCAAAACAATACCTAAAACAAATAGATTAAATAAATTAAATGATATAACTAAAGATTGAATTAAAGTGTCCAAAAAAAAATAAACGTGTCCAAACAACTCAAGAAAACATATAGTCCTTTCTCCCAAACTCCAAAGTGCTTCAACAGAAATTGGTTATCCTTCTCTGATGTGTGCTTCCACCATCCACCAGTGTAACACCAACATGAACCGCACTCACCAGATAGTGGTGAATAGTAGGCCTTTTAGGACTTTTAGGGATCCTATACCCCCTTTACAGCCTCCAGACCTCCATTCCACCATACAGGACTCGGATGATCCTTCCACTCCCTCCTTGATAAGGAACGCTTTAGGCCGCTCTGTGCAATACCCTTGCAGAAAGCAGGTAAGTATAATATGTTTATTTTTTAAAATAACCTTTACAATCACTTTAAACTCCCTAAAGAAATGCATTGTATACTTTGGTGTCTCCTACCTCCTCTTTGCTGCAGCCTCCATAAGAATCTTTAGCATTCAGCACTTCTGGAATTGTCAGATGTCTGTATGCTGTTTTTTTTTTCTTCTGACTCCTACATCCTTACAGGACACAGGAGTGACATAGGGGTTGGAAGGAGGAACCACAACATGAAACTTGTAAAAACGGCATCCAAAAGTGTTCAATGCTGAACAGTCACACATATGCTACAATGTTGTAAAAGTGGTGAGGGAGGAAATGGAGGCAGGAGATGCAGTCATGCAGGAGAGAGCCCTTTGCACTTGTTTAGGAACCTGACAGGGTCCCTTTAACCACTTCTTGACCTCACTATAGCCGCATGAGTGCGGTCATCCAATTCTGGGAGTGCGCCACTGATGATTCTCAGGAGCCTTTCACTCTTGTGCCCAACAACACACCAAGCCTCTTACCAGATCACAATGATCATCATAAAATGCTCATCAGGAAAATGTCTTCAATCCAAGCTGTTATCCACTCCAGCTCACAAGTAGGTTATTGCTCAAATATATATATATCAGAATGAAAAACAAGACACTTCCCATAGTGTATTATGTTAAAAACAATCCGCTTTATTAAAAGAAATAAAGTGCACTTAAAAAGTAACATCCTTGGTACTGCTCAGTAAACTCCAATCAATTAGATTAATCCAAGCCAACTGACCGCCTGTTGCTGTGCATGATGACATTGTGTCATGACCCTACCCTACACATTATATCATAGATTATGTCATCAGGGGACTGGCTAAACAGCATCCATCATGCAAAGACAAACAACACAAAACCAACACAGCACCATCTTGTAAGCATTATATATATATATATATATATATATATATATATATATATATATATATATTGGACTATAATTGTGGTCTACCTATTTACAAACGTAACCAATACACAATCCTATAAAAACAATATTTATTACAAATCAATAAAATAGGATCCCAAATCCTCATATTCTAATAATATAATCACAGTTACAAAAAACTATACATCTAATAAAAAAGAATAAATGTGAATAAAAAGAAAAAAATGGAAAGATAAAATAGTAATAAGGACAAAAAGGAATTCAAAAGGCCCATTCATAGCACCAATAGGTGCTATGAAACCATGCTGTAAATATCCAGCAAACACAAATGCTCCTGCGCTTGGGGATGGACTCGATGCAGGCTACAACCACATAAGGAATGTCATGGAACATGCACACCTTGCTGCCCTCAAATGGACCGGGGAATCCAAATATACTGAATGAGGAAAGAAAATACAGAGGGGCTAGTGCATCATAAAAAATGTTTAATAAAAAACAGCTGTTGGTCAAACACCAAGGCACATCTGAACAGCTGGGTCAACAAAGAGGCAAGTCCTCGAAACGCGTCAGCCTTTTGGATGTCTATAATGCCTATTACGGACTGTTACTCAGCGCAGTGTTGACCCAGCTGTTCTTTATGATGTGCCTTGACTATATTGTCGTTTGTGAGTACAACACAAACTTTATTTTTTATTAAACATTTTTTATGGTAATGCACTAGGCCTGTGCGCCCCTGTTTTTTCTTTCCTCATGCTGTAAATATGTCACATTCAAAATATGCCCTTTTTAACCACTAGGGAGTTTTCTTTAACTGTTATTAATAAACAATACACAGTTTTTCCAATCGTGAAGTCTCCAGTCTAATAAAATTTCCTCTCCAATGTGGGGAAAATGTATCTTGTATAAATCTTGTACCCACTGGATTTTTATTATGGTATTAAGCATATTGTTTAGGAACACTACGACCCAAAAATCCAGTTTTTATACTAGCAATATATATCTTAACTGTGATTGCAACAATTGTGTGGTTCTCCCACATATTGTAGCTTGCAGGGGCAATGAACCATATAGATCACTTGTTATGAACAATTGAATATCATAAATTCTGAAGGTTTGCTGAAACTGAAAAGATACAATTTTTCTTCCTTTAACCGCTTCCCACCCGCCATATAGTAATATGACAGACACAAGGTGGCTCTCTCGTTCTGGGAGGACGTCATATGATGTCCTCCCTTCCTAACCGCGCATGCGCGGCTCCCGAAGCGCGCAGCGCAACGTTCGGTGGTGCGCTGTGTCCCACAGATACAGCAGATCACCGATCCACGGAAAGAGCCGAAGATACCGGCTCGGTCATGTGAGCAGCTGTGTCCAATCACAGCTGATCACATGTAAAGAGGGAAATGCCGATTATCGGCATTTCTCTCCCCACGAGCTGTCACGCTGACAGCTCGTGAGGAGAGGAGAGCCTGTATTCGGCATTCCTCGGAGGGGACATGTACACAGATCATCAGAGCACTGTTGATCAGTGTGCCCTGATGATCTGTGTAGCCCCAGCAGCGCCACCTGTCAGTTTCCATCAGTGCCAGCTCTCAATGCTCATCCATGCCACCTGCCAGTGCCCATCAGTGCCACATCAGTGCCACATTTCAGTGCCCATCAGTGCCACATCAATACCACATATCAGTGCCCATCTGAGCTGCCTTTCAGTGCCACCTATCAGTGCTGCCAATCAGTGCCACCTATCAGTGCTGCCAATCAGTGCCATCTATCAGTGCCAGCCAGTGCAGCCTATCAGTGCCAGTCAGTGTCGCCTATCAGTGTGCATCAGTGCTGCCTGTCAGTGCCCGTCAGTGCTGCCTATCAGTGCTGCCTAACAGTGCCAGCCAGTGCCACCTAACAGTGCCAGTCATTGCCGCCTATCAGTGCCAGTCAGTGCCGCCTATCAGGTAAGCGAGCGCTTAAAACATAAACAGCAGCTGAACACCAAAGGTACCGTATAAAACCTTCAAATAAATCATAAAAAGCAAGGTGCAGCGCTAAAATATCCACTTATAAAATCTCGTAATATCTCACATAAATTAAATAGACATGCTTTATCCAAAATATGTCATATAATCAGAAATATAATACTAAGTCCAGTGACAATGTGCAGATAAAGTGCCACTAAGGAATGACCAATAAAGTGAATAGTGCCAGCACATCAACCCAAAATAGTTCACAATAAAGGTGCATAGGAGATCTCTGATGATCTTCAAAATCCAGTGATTAAATCCAACGATATGGTGATGTGAAAATACCATGAAAAGATTGCGCACTCACCAGATACACAACCAAATTGCGCATATAGAGATGATAACCTCAGCACACTGGAAATACTTATGTGGGTCAGGTCTTGTCTGGTACCCCTCACTGCCTGGTACACACTGGCACACTAGGAGAAGCTGCTCTGCAGATGTAGACAGCTCACAAGGAGCCCCAAAAAACAGAGGAGACCAAATAGTGTGATATCCTTTTGACAGGAACCGTTTATTCCATATGTGCCATACAAAACAATAGGGACAAAACCATTGACCATGTGTGGAGATGAAAATGGCCACCGGGGCCCTCCTGGCGCCAGCGGTGTGACGTCACAGCGCTGTAGTCCCTCCCTGATACGCTTCGTGCGATGGCACGTAGTCATAAGGGGTTCACCTCTGATAGAGTGCCGCCTATCAGTGCCACCTATCAGTGCCATATATGAGTGCTGCCTTTCAGTGCCCATCAGTGATGCCTGTCAATGCCCATCAGTGCCACCTACCAGTGCCTCCTCATCAGTGCCCATCAGTGCCACCTACCAGTGTCCATCAGTGCAGCCTATCAGTGCCCATCACTGCAGCCTCATTAGCGCACATCAGTGAAGGAGAAAAATCATATTTACAAAATTTTATAACAAAAACTAAGAAAAAACGTTTGGTTTTTTTCAAACTTTTCAGTGGTTTTTGGTTTGTTTAAGAAAAAATAAAAAACCCAGAGGTGATTAAATAACTCCAAAATAAAGCTCTATCTGTCACAAAAAAATGATAAAAATTTCATATGGGTACAGTGTTGCATGACCGCACAATTGTCATTCAAAATGCAACAGCACTGAAAGCTGGAAATTGGCCTGGGCAGGAAGGGGGTATAAGTGCCGTGTAGGCTAGTGGTTAAATGTATTAGGTTGGCAGGCCTCATTCAGGAAAGAAGTCCTTCATATTCTGAAAAAAAAGACTTGACAGGTGGATCAATGACATTGGAAGCTACCTTTTTCTTCAAAGCAAGTGCTCCCCTACAAACTATAGCAGGGTTATCTGGCAGAAGGGGTTCTAATAATTCATTATTTTGCAAGACAGGCCAATAATTCTGAAGATTTTTATAATGGCCTGATGTTGAATTGAATAGGTAGTAATAAATGACCATTTAAACTTATCCATGTTAGAATTTCTCTTTCTCTTTTTCAGCAGGGTTTCCCTATCACGAGAACCTACTTCCCTTGTAATCCACTGTAATCATCAATCATGGTGTGATTCTGTCTTAATCTTAGAAATTGGCTCTTAGGGACAGACTTAATCCATAACGTATGGTCACAACTGTTTGAAGAATTTCTATCAGTGTCCTTGAAATGGGTGATAGTGTGGAGAACACCTCCTGCAACTTTAATCCTCAAATCTAAAAAATTTACCTCATGTCCGCTCGCCTCATAATCCAGAAAATACCTCTAACATTCATGTTTAATCCTTGAATAACATTGTGTAAAGATTAGAAATCAGCTTCACACAGAAGGAGGATGTCATTAATGAATCTCAAGTCTGGCCACTGGCCTCTGTGGCTGACATCCTCCTCCCGTTTGGCCATGTTTGGCACAAACTTAGTGCCCATTGCAACACCACAGTTTTGTGAGTAATAAGTTCCCAAATAATTATCTCCCACAGCGAAATTCAAAAGCGTAAAGATTATATCCTTTTCATGCAAAGGTAGATTGTCATCCTTATTTAGAAAATATTCAACAGCTGCTTATGAGAAATATTTGCATACAAAGAGAAGACTCATCCTCTGTGGCAAGAATATAACTGTCCTAACATCTTATTTCTCTTAACACATTAATAAAACCAGTGGTATCTTTAAAATACAATAAGATGGCATTTTCCCCACTAGCGACTGCAAGTATTCATCATACTTCCCTCTCCGGGAGGTAACAAATTCAATGTTGCTGATTTGAGGATGACCAGGGGGATTTCCTGGCTTCTTATGTTCTTTTGGTAAATAGCACATGATGGGCACTCGGGGAACCAAAAACGCCTATTTCTATTTCACTTCCACACCGGGCACTTTCACTCCCTCCCTGCCCAGGCCAATTTTCAGCTTTCAGTGCTGTCGCACTTTGATTGACAAGTGTGCAGTCATGCAACACTTTACCCTTTGGTAATTAATCCTTTGGTGGTAATTAATCATCACTGGGTTTTTATTTTTTCACTATAAAAAAAAAAAAACTGAAAATGTTGAAAAAAAAAAAGGTTTTCTTTTTTTCTATTACAAAAAATTTAGCAAATAAGTAATTTTTCTTCATAAGTTTAGGCAACCATTTATACTGCTACATTTCTTTGGTAAAAATAACCCAAATAAGTGTGTATGTATTTTGTCTGTGTGAAAGTTATAGTCTACAAGCTGTGGCATCAATTATTGAAAACTGATCACACCTGATGACACTTGAAGCACTTAGGGCCTATTTCATTTCTTGAGGCCCTAACATGCTAGAAAAGTACAAATAGCCCCCAAATTACCCCTTTTTGGAAAGCAGGATATTTAGTAAAGAGACATGGTAAGTTTTTTGAAGTTGTAATTTTTTTTCCACAATTCTTTGGAAAATGAAGAAATTATTATATTTTTTTTCACACATAATTGTCAAAATAACAAATTATTTCTCACATCTGGCATAGACATACTTGCAATTGCACCCCAAAACACATGCTACTCCTGCTTAGTAGAGTATTGTTATACCACATGTGTGAGACATTTCCAAAACCTGGCCACATACAGAGACCCAACATCCAAGCAGCACAGCACCTTCACGCGTTCCAGTATAAAAGGGGAATAAATTACACATCTAATTTCCTGACTACCTATCACAGTTTTGAAGGCACTGGAGCACCAGGATGATGGAAACACACACAGAATGACCCCCTTTTGGAAAGAAACCATCCCAAGGTATATTCTATCAGGCATAATCAGTCTTTTGAGCATGTCATTTTTTTCCAAACGTTTTTAGAAAATGTGGAAAGAAAAATGAAAACTTTTTTTCACACAAAGTTATCAATTTATAAGATATTTCTAACACACAGCATGTACATAACAAGAATTATTCCCCAAACTGCATTCTGATACTCCATCTGAGTATGGCAATACCACATGTGTGAGACTTTTCCACAACCTGGCTACATACAGGCAGAGATATGGTCAGCACAGCCAAAGTATTGGTCCAGGCAGCAGGCAGGAGCATGGTCCGCAAAAGTCTTGGATCAGTACAGTTAGCAAGAGGAGATATGGTCAGCACAGCCAAAGTATTGGTCCAAACAACAGGCAGGAACATGGTCCATAAAACGTCTCGGGTCAATACAGGCAGCAGGCAGAGATATGGTCAGCACAGCCAAAGTATTGGTCCAGGCAGCAGACAGGAACATTAGGCGTAGGGCCTTGGTCAGGTAGGACTGGGGCACAGGGGTAGAGGCTTCATCCCTCCCAATCTCTTCAAAGCCTCTGGACAAACAGACCCTGTTCTGGGAAGTACAAAACCCAGAGAAAACCAAAAACTGTTTTTTCTCTACTCTGAAGCTCCTCACACATGTGAGACCCCTGTGCTTATCTTGAATCCCACTACTACAGTAGTAGGGCAAAAAATCAATCCAAGCGGCAGGCAAAAAACATTGTCGATTTAACAGGCCGAGGCCAGTCCAGGAAGAAGGCATAAACGTGGTTGATAATCCAGATGGCAGTCAGAAGCATAGTCGATAAACAAGCTAGGGTCAGTTCCGGTAGAAGGCAGAAATGTAGTTTAGAAATAATTCAGAATGAAGGCAGAGGCATTGTCTGTAAACAGGCCAGGGTCAGTTAAGGTGGATGGCAGAGGCATGGTCGATCAAGGCAGCAGGCAAAAGATCAGCAAAGATAATAAAAATGGGGTAATTGCAGGCTGCTTAAAAATATGGAAAACTAATATTTTACTAACGTGTGATAATGTCGTAAGTAGTCTCTGATGCATAGACCTGGTTGGGAGGGGCATTGGGGACAATGAAAACTGGTGTCTTTCCTAACTTCCCCTCTGTTGCATACCCTACATTTTTTTTGGAGTCTTCTTCCTGTCTCTGATGGTGGAATGTTCTCAGGGAAATGGCGTTCATGGAGTCTGCTGACACAATCGGAGAGAATGCTTTGTGGTGGAGATCCATGCTGATAGATTAGGGTAGTGACGACATCTTCTCTAAATTTGAGGAAAGTGGTAGGTCTTTCTATTGACTTGATAGGTGATGTATGCATTAAAAATGGCCATGTGAAAAAGTATATTGCAACTTTTTTATACCAGAAGAGGGACTTCCTTGTTGATAAATAGGGCGGCAGCATCTGATCGTTTAAATCCCTCCTCCCCCCATGAATCAATTATAATTGTAGATACACTCTGGCTTTCTCATGGGACCTCGTCTTCTGTGAATTTCCATCATGGTGTCATTATGGATGGTGGACAGGGTGTAAACATCTCTCCTATCCCTGCACTGCATAGCCAACACTTCCT